CATTCTGGGTTGACATACCTCAGTTAGCAAGGGCAGTCAGCCTTAGAATTGGAACTACAGAAGCTAAAAAGCAAGGTTAGTACATTTAGGGACTTTCCCAGAACTCTGGAGTTTGATGGATTATGTCTTTGCTCCCATTTTAGCAGATGTTGAGATCTACATGCTCGACTCTTAGGTCAGAACGGTGCAGTGTCTCTACATGGTGTTAGACTTGCTAACGTTTGGGAGCCTGTCACAACACCAAGTTTAGGACTAGCCAGGGCTACAGAGTGAGACCCTATTAAAATAAATCTCCATCCCTGGAGGGGTGCTGAAATACAAAATGCTTCCCCTGGTTTTGGAGAGGTGGCTCAGAGGTTAAGAACCTTTGCTGCTCTTGTAGAAGACCTGAGTTTGATTCCAAGCAGCTACATAGAGGCTCACAACTGTCAGTAACTCCAGTTCAGAGGGGATCCAATGCTCTCTTCTGGCCTTTTTACAGGCAAACCACAAACATAAACAACATAAAATAATAAATCTTTAAAAATTGTTGACGGGCGGTGGTGGCACATGCCTTTAATCCCAGCACTCGGAAGGCAGAGCCAGGTGGATCTCTGTGAGTTCAAGGTCAGCCTGGGCTTCAGAGTGAGTTCCAGGACAAGCTCCAAAGCTACACAGAGAATCCCTGTCTCAAAAAAAAATGTTACATTTTTCCTCACCCTAACCCCAGGTTTGTGATTCTTTAGGTCTGGAGATGCACAGACAGAGGGTTTGTGCTGTTATGGAGCATTAATTACAGTCTGAGAACTACTATGTACTATTTTACAATAGGAGGAAGAAAAGAAAAAGGGTGGATACACAGTTGTATTGAAAGACCCTAGCTTATTCCCCCAAGTCTCAGGAAAAGAGAAACTTCAAGCACCAGGAAATGAGAAACTAAAAATCTAGTTCCAAGGGCAACCTGACTTAGCCATTGTTCAATCTCCCCTGCAACCATATAACAATATAAAGAGATTTCTGTTAAGAGATGTGCTCAACTGTGACTGGGATAGTTGCAGGTGTTCCAGGAAGGACCACTGCAACCTTTGTGTAAACTCCACTCCCGCCCTGATAGCCCCCCTTGAGGTTTCAGGAAAAATGTACCTGTTGACATAACTGTACCCCCTCTGTGATCACTCTGTACTCAGACCATGATCTTGTGAAATGAAATTGTATGGGAATTGTAATCTTGTGGGTTTTGTGGGTTTTTCCTTTATAAGCCCTTATGGGGCTGCAGTAAGATGCGGCTCTTGCTCTTAGGAGCAGGGTTTGCCCTTCTATATAGAAGCTTCAATAATAAAATCCTCATGCTATTGCATCAACTGGACTGGAGTCTGGGTTCTTGGGGCACCCACTTGAGACCCTAAATTTTGGGGTCCAACAGTATACATATGTATGTCTGTAGTCAGAAGCTAAAGAAATTCCCATATGCCAGGCAATGGTAGCACCTACCTTTAATCTCAGCACTTAGAAGGTAGAAGCAGGCAGATCTCTGTGAGTTCAAGGCTAGCCTGGTCTACAGAGTGAGTTCCAGGACAGCCAGATGCTGTTAGACAGAGAAATCTTTTCTTTAAAAAAAGTTCCCGCCGGGCGGTGGTGGCGCACGCCTTTAATCCCAGCACTCGGGAGGCAGAGCCAGGTGGATCTCTGTGAGTTCGAGGCCAGCCTGGACTACC